ACAAGTCGCTGTGGCAGCGCTTCCGCATGGCTCACGCAGGAATGAATGAATGGCTGGGCGCTGCCTCTTGATTTATACTTCTGAAACTCGTTGGTCTGCCCTTCGCCATCGGCCCATGGTGCTCACAGTCCCTTGTGGTACTTGCTGGACTGGACTGGGACTGACTGGACCTTACTGCTGACTGAATGGGGACTCACTGCTAACCTATCGGAGTCGTACTGCAATTGCACTGCAGTTTAGTCCACCACTTGACTCACCACTTGCCCACTTGCCCACTTGCGGACCTTCTAGAAGGACTACAGCTAAGACTTCTGGAACTCGCTAAGACTTCTATTTTACAGATCTACAGATCGAACCCCTGCTACCTACGGACCTATGACAGCCTACCAACTGTTTACGAATACACAGGTCACAGGTTCAACTCTCAGGGTTTACTCAGGTACTGTACACAGTTAGGGCAAGGTCTAGGGATCGAGCCCTGGGATCTGCATCTGCTACTGCAAAAGGTGAAAACCGTTTCACTTCAAATGGCTATGGCGCATCAGCGCCTGTACAAATCTCTGTTCGTCACTCACTCCACGCTGCTGTTCACACACAGGATCACCCTGGATATCCCACACGCATCACACTGTACACTCACGCACTCACACACGCTACACTCTTCTATCAGCTATGGCGGCTATGGCCGCTGCTACCCCTATCGCTATGGCTAAGCTCTCCTTCTCGCCCACTTCGTCTTTGGGCTCACTGCAGACCACCTCGCACAAGTCGCTGTGGCAGCGCTTCCACATGGCTTACGCAGGAATGAATGAATGCCTGGGCGCTGCCTCTTGATTTATACTTCTGTATCTCGTTGGTCTGCCCCTTTCCCATGCCCGTGGTGCACACAGTCCGATACGGTACTTGCTTGACTGGACTAGGACTGACTGGGACGGGGACTGCTGACTCAGCACGGGCGGACTCCACCACTTGCTCACTTGCCTCAGCCTAAACGTGAACAGCTTCGAAAGGCCAGTACCAGGACCTTCCGGAAGTTTCAATCCTGGCCTTTGGGATACTGTAGCAGCTACGACCTTGACCTTTCAGGACTGTAGCAGCTACGACCTTGACCTTTCAGAGGTCCTACAGCTACGACTTCTAGAACTCCCTAAGACCACTATTCGACAGGTCTACAGATCGAACCCCTATAATCTACAGACCCTACGACAGTCTACCAACTGTGGGAACAGACACAGGTCGTGGGTTCAACTCCTGGGGTTGACACAGGTAATGTACACAAGTAAAGTAAAGTCTAGGGATCGAGCCCTGGGATCTGCATTCGCTACTGCGAACAGGTGAATACCATTTCAGCTGCGCACTTTACTGAATCATTCCTGTGTGAAGTACCATTCTGTTATTTTCTCTCGGTTCCTCGCACAAGGGAACTGGGAAACAGTCATGCTAGCTTTTAGTGTTTCAAGGCTTGGAGGTGGCTGCAGGTGGTGATTGCTCGGAGAAGCTGTGTAGTATTTGCAGGCCAGTTACAGACAGGGTGGGTTTATGGGCATGTTCATGCAGGGCTTGTATGGAGAGTGCAACGTGGTAAATGTGGCTGGGCGGAAGGTAGCAGGGGTGCAAGTGCATTTGATGCTGATGAATAGTACTCCAGTGTTGCACTCCAATTCACTCAATATGGTCAACGTCAGGATAAGGGAATTCTGTTTGGGGATCCATGCTATCAGTTCTTTCACATCATTCTTGTTAACTGTCGCGTCAGAGGAAATAGTGTCAACATTGTTGGTATGACATATCGGTTCGCAATTGTATGGAACTTATTCTCCTGTGAACAGGTTGAGTTAATAGGATTCTGCAAGGAGAACTTCCTCTTTCTGGTGTACGAGTATTGTGAGCAAGGAACGCTAGCCAGTCACCTGCATGCACCAGCAGCTTATGGTAAGGCAGAGTGATCTTCTTGCCATTTTCATTACAATCTGGTCTTGTGGTGGACATAGTGAGCGTATTGTCAGAAATGGAAGTGGCATGCCATAACACAAGGTATTTCTTATCATTGTAATGACCTTTTTTTTTTTTCTTTTTTTTTTTACAATAAAACAGAACCGTGACAGTCCGGTTCCTATTCCCCCGGCAAGTCAATATGGAATACATAAAAGACTCACGCACGCTCCTCCCCATTATGGCTGAGAGGCCCGAGTGGGCAGCATTGATTACTTCCCTGAGGAAGGATGTACCACCTCTCACCCCTGTCTAATGTAGCCTGTACTAACTCTGCCTGCCAATCTGTCTGATCCCAGATCTGCTCCTCTCAGCTATGAAGTTGTCGGTTAGTCGTGATTATGCAAGAGCCTTCTGGAACACTTCTGTGCCTTTTGAAGCGTCTATTACTCTATAACAGCATTTGCCTTGTTTCTGTCTAAGCCGTAAA